TCGGGGAAGTTTCCCTTCAGGCAGCCTCCGCCGAATTCCATGTTTGTACAATCTTCCTTGAAATTGAAGCAATCTGCCCGTCACTCTGCGCCTCCCGATCGCGAGGGCTGCAAAATCAATGTTATCATGAAGTAGCTCTATTCCTTTGCCTCTATGAATCTTCGTATTGACACCTACCTGTCATATCTGTCTCCCTATGTGTTTAATGTGGCTAATGCAGTCCGTCCCGTCTTACAGTTTGTTCCGGAGAAACACCGTCCAACATTGTCAGGAGCTTTATCAGAAATTTGCACGATCTCAAAACAGCAAATTAATAAAGTCCGTCATGCTATCACTTGCTCCTCGAAAGTTCTTGTCTCCTCCATCAATCTCCATCATCGTGCTTGGCTAGGAGGTACCTCTTTACAGCCCGACATGAAATTACGGATTGAGGATCTCCCCTTCAATGGCGAAGATCTCTTCCACTCTACCACTGACGAAGCCTTAAAGGCTGTTGATGATAGTCAGAAGGAGGCTCGGAACCTAGGTGTCTCGGCATCGACACCCCGATGCCGGTACCGTTCCTGGAAACCATATTATGCCAGACACCAGCCATCTCCTGCCCTATGACCTCCATTATGCCAATAGGGTGCGCCAACAGGCCCCTAAAAAATCCCAGCAGCCCAAGCAGTCCGTTTGACCGCTTTGATCGCCTGCCATCTCCTCCATCTTACACCCCTCCCGTCCGGCCCCGACTCTTCCCCTTTCTACGAAAGTGGGAAGAAATTTCAACTGATATCTGGGTCCTTACCATCTTACGGGTCGGGTATGCCATAGAGTTAGTTTCGCCTCCCGACCTACCTCATTATGTCGTCACCTCCCCAAGGTGCCATTGAGGTCGTCCCGGAAGCGCTACAAAACCTAGGCTTTTATTCAAAATATTTCCTTGTACCAAAGAGGGATGGCGGCTGCAGGACCATTATGGATCTTCGGGATCTCAATCGATACATTCGATGCCACAAGTTCCGAATGGTCACGCTACAATCTATCCTCCCACTGATTCCCCGGGCGGCATGGCTCGCCTCTGTCGATCTCCTGGACGCCCATTTTCATGTCACTATCCGTCCACAGCATCGAAGGTTCCTGCATTTCACTGTCGGCAACGCACACTATCCGTATCGGGTCCTTCCGTTCGGACTCTGCACTGCCCTGAGGGTTTTTACCAAGCTGATGGCTGTGGTGGCTGCAGACCTCCATCGTCGGGAGATTGTCCTGTATCCCTATATCGATGATTGGCTTCTTGTTACCTCACCCAACACCAGCTCCTCCAAGACGTCCAAACCACTCTGTCTCTCCTTCGTGCCCTCGAGCTTTGTGTCAACCTAACCAAGTCCTCCCTATAGCCTCTTCAGGCCCTTCAATTCCTGGGTGCCTGTCTCGATACCAACCTCGAGAACGTGTTTCTCCCAAACCTGAGGGCCTCCAACATACTTACTCTGGTCTCCCAGTTCCAGACCTCTCCCCGTCAGTCTGCTCAGTCTGTTATGAGGCTCCTGGGGCATTTTGCGGCTACTGTCTTTGTCATCTGTCATGCCAGGTTGAGGATGCGTCCCCTCCAACTTTGGCTTCTCCGTGCCTTCAACACTCTCCGCAGTCCATGGCACACAATCCTGTCGATCCCACCCCCTGTCGTCAACTCTCTTGCTTGGTGGTCTCACCCTTGCCACTTGCTCTCCGGCATGCCCTTTCGCCATCCTCCTCCGCGAGTGTCAGTCTCCACTGACGCATCCCTCTGGGGCTGGGGAGCCCAGTGTGGAATCTTTTCGGCACAAGGGACCTGGTCTCAAAAGAACCTCCTCAGGAAATAGGAAACCTCCTCAGAAAACAATCCATATACAAAAGAACCTCCTCAGGAAAGCTTCTCCATTAGCATGTTCACAGCCTGGGAAACTCCTACAAGATAATGACTCAGCCCTACCCCACCTTCTGGAGTAGATATAAATTACCTGGCTACGATTTTCTTCTTACCTTGACACAGAGAGTACTCCATCTTTCTGTGTTATACCTCTGAGGATGCCAGTCACAGTTACTGGCAAAACATCAAGTTCTACAATGCCAAGACCACGGCCATACAACCCAGAAAATCTACAGCAACTAATGAACTCCGGCCGTGAAAGCCTTCAACAACATAAAAATAGAATTATTAGGCACATAGAGGAACAAAGCCTGCTGAGGGAAACTCAGCATGACTTCAGCATAGGGAAGTTCTGCCTCCCCAACCTTTTGGAATTCTTTTAGAAAATGAATAAGCATTTAGACAATGGTGACCTGGTAGATATTACATAATTGGACTTTCAAAAGGCTTTTGACAAGGTACCTCACCAAAGTTTTTGTTGTTCAGTCGCACAGTCGAGTCCGACTCTTCGCAACCCCATGGACCAGATCACGCCAGGCCTTCCGGTCTTCCACCGTCCTCTGAAGTTTGCTCAACTTCATGTTTGTTGCATCTATGACATTGTCTAACCATCTCATCCTTTGCCGTCCCCGTCTTCTTTGACCTTCAGTCTTTCCCAGCATCAGGGTCTTCTCCAGTTAGCAAGTCATGGGATAAGAGGATTGATTCTCTTATCGGTGAAAAACTGGTTAAATGACAGGAAGCAAAGAGTAGGAATCAATGGAAGGAAGCAAGCAGTGGGGTCCCACAAGGAATGGTATTGAGGGAGGTACCATTTAATTGATTCATAAATGATCTGGAAGTAGGGGTGAGTAGTGTAGTGGCCACATTTGCAGATGGCACAAAATTATTCGGGATAGTGAAAACCAAGGCTGACTGTGAAGAGCTCCAAGAGGACCTCCACAAATTGGGTGAGTGGGCGACAATATGGCACATGAAGTGCTTCCTCTAAACTGTGTAGTCTTGTGAGCAAAATTCTACTTTGTGAGCTACTGGCATTAAAATTGTGAGTAAGCAATTAGGCTACTGCAAAATCAGTTTGCTCTGGAGCCATCCTTCCTGACCTAAGACAAAAATGTGTGAGCCAGAGGCTAAAAAACTGAGCTAGCTCACACTAACTCAGCTTAGAGGGAACACTGATAAAGGGATGTAGATTGGGGCAAAAATCCCAACTTCAAATATAGGCTAATGGGGTCTGAACTTGCTGAGTCTGAGAGAGAAAAAGATCTTGGGGTCATAGCTGATAGCTCAATGAAAGTGTCAACCCAGTGTGCTGCAGCAGTTAAAAAGGCAAACCCTGTGTTAGGAATTATTAGGAAAGGGATTGAAAATAAAATGACTGATCTTATAATGCCCATGTACAGATCAATGGTGCAGCCTCATCTGGAATACTCTGGTCACTGTATCTCAAAAAGGACATTGCAGAGCTGGGAAAAGTACAGAGGAGGGCAACCAAGATGAATTAGGGGGTTGGAGCACTTTCCTGATGAGGAAAGGCTGAAGAGCCTTGGACTTTTCAGTTTAAGAGGGGGCATGATAGAAGTTTATAAAATTACATATGGGATGGAGAGATTTGACAAATATAACTTTTTCTTCTTTTCCCAAAATACTAGAACTTGAGGGTGTCCAATGAAACTGATGGGCAGTAGTTTCAGGATGGACAAAAGGAAATATTTCTTTACACAGAGAGTGATTAAAATGTGGAATTTACTGCCAGAGGATATAGTGATGGCTAGAGGAATAAATGACTTTAAAAGGGGATTAGATAAATTCATGGAGGATAGGTCTATCAGTGGCTACTAGCCATGGTAACTGAAGGGAACCTTCACATTCAGAGGCAGTAAGCTTCTGAATCCCAGAGCCAGGAGGCAACACCAGGGGAAAGGGCCTCCATGGCCTGTTGTTGGCCCTTCAGAGGAACTGGTTGGCCACTGTCTGAGACAGAATGCTGGACTAGATGGATCACTGGTCTGATCTAGCAGGCTGTTATGATCTTATCATACACAGAAAATATGTGTATCAGTTTTACATTCAGCAGAGTTCAGTGCCTGTATTACTTTGAAGTTCTGGTACAATTTTTTTTTTTAATTTAAGCATTTTAAAACTTTGATAATATATCCCCCCAAGAAAAAGATACAGCATTTATAAGTTCTGGGAGAAAATATTGAAGTGGCCATCATCTGAGTATTCATAACTATGTAGGAATCTTTCTGTGTGTGGTTTCAAGAGGCTCGTCATGTCTGTGTACACCTGCACAGTAAGTGCTGACCTGAAACAGAATCCTGGCCCTTATCAGAAGTCTGTGTTTGACGGCATGGGTTTTTTGTGACTGGAGGGGAATGTCACCCTCAGCTTCCTTTTCCATAAATAATCTATTTGGTTTTATCTAAAATTCAGTTTCCATTAATAGAAGGGACTTTTATTAGTGAATTGGAACTTTTTGACCTCCTCTCTCCACTGTAAGCTGCTGAACTCCCGAAATCATCCCCTATCCCATAGGAGCAACATTTTGGAGAGCTCAGTGGGTAAGGTTGCCAGCCCCAGATGGGGGTGGGGGATACCCCAAATTCATGGGTTCTTGCCCACCACCAGTCAGCTGGCCAGCGAGGGGAAGCCCCACCCCCAACAGCCACAACCTGGCACAACGTCCCTAGTGTTATGATGTCATGTGGAAATGACGTCATCATGCTGGGGGTGTCGTGTGGTGATGCTCTGGTATTTTGGGCAAAACTCTATGGTAACCATAGAGTTTTGCCCAAAACACCAGAGCATTGCTGTGCGACATCCCAGGCATGATGACATCACTTCTGTGTGATGTCATCACATTGAGTATGTCACCCCACCCCCCATTGCTGGAGAGCTCCCTCCCACCCTCCTTCGGCAAGGAGGTACAACCTGGCAACCCTATCAGTGGGTCATACCTTAAGCTGGGAAGCAGCAAGGCTCCATTCCATTGATGGAAGTGTTTTCTGTTAAAGGAAAGTTTAGTCTGGAGAAGATACAACCTGTTCTGATTAAGGTAGTTTCCTGTTTGTAGAGGCTTTGAATAGTAATAGAATTAAATACTTTAGAGATAACAGTGTTGATAAATTTTGTGGACATACTGTTCTTTTTTTAAAATGAGAACAATACATTTGATGTGTACTTTTTATGTATGTGGTATGCTAAGGGACAGTGAAGAGAAAAACGGGACAATGAATGATTTGTAAACCTTAACTTGGCTTCTAAGAACTGCTCATTTATGGTCGTCCAGTGTATGTCACCCTGATAGCTAGAAGATCAAGTAAATTTGCTGGAACACGTTTTTTAAAGAGAGGAGCAAATTGTGAGGTAAAACACAGTCTTCATTGTGTGAGCACTGAATGAAGGCATGTTCTTGCTATGGATAAGACCAAGTTCTTTGACTTCGTGGGAAGCTTACTTTTCACCATTTTGGCAGCCTTCAAAGCAAACCTTTCAAACATGTAAATTGTAGATTTTTGATGATACTTTTAATTCTGGCTAATGATGTTTTAAAAATCCATTTGCTGTATTCAAGCTTAAAAATTCTTATATGGAATGCTAGAAACCTTTGAATTATTGAATAAGTTAATGACAGACATAATCTAATTTGTAATGTCTCTTTTCTAGGCTACAGTACGTGATTACAGTCATATTTCTATCACTGTATCGAAATCTCATTATGACCAAACCTGTAGATACTTAAATCCAGAGACTGGAGCCAAGAACAGACAAAATAGATCTTTCTACAATTCTTGAAGGCCATAGGTCTGCAGAAAAAATTGAAATTAAAAACAAACATTGGGTGCTTAAAATATCAGGGAGAGGGGCAGAGCTCTTTTGGCCTTTGAGGGAGGGCTTATTGGGGCCAGACCCTGCAGCAATTACTGGTTGACTTCCAACCACATGACTTGCTTGATTTACTCAGGTCTGGCTATTTGCTACTGTTAAGCAGCAGCCACCTCATGAAAGCCAGTGTGGTGAGAATGTCAGACTAAGATCTGGGAAACCCAAATTTCAATCCCCACTCTGCTGTGGAAGCTTACTGGGTGACCTTGAGCCAGTCACACACTGTCAGCCTAAAAACAGGTTGCTTACCAGTAACTCGTGATCTTCGAGTGGTCATCTGTGCATTCACACCCATGGGATCTAGTGCATACGCGCTGGATCAATTGGTGCTGTAGCAAGCTCTTTTAACGGATTTTCGCACCCAGTCCCTCGGGCATGCGCAGGAACCCCACCGCGCATGCCCAGAGGGGTGGGCGTGGACATCCCACCAGTTCCTACAAACCGCCGCAAATCAACCCCTATTAAAGATGTAGAAAGCTGACAGCAGCGGGGAAGGAGGGTGGGTGGTGTGAATGCACAGATGACCACTCGAAGATCACCAGTTACTGGTAATCAACCTGTTTATCTTAGACGTGGTCTCTGTGCTTCACATCCATGGGAGATTAGCGAGCAGTAGCTTACCTGGAGGAGGGTGCTGCCAGGTTCTTTACTGCGTAGCCGAAGATAGAATGTGACGTCCCATGCTGGTACTGGTGTTTGTACGGACGTCGAGGGCATAGTGCCCGATGAAGGTGTTAGGCGTGGCCCACGTGGCGACTTTACAAATGTCCGGCAAGGGCACTCCCTGGAGGAACGCAGTGGACGTCGCGACAGCCCTGGTAGAATGAGCCCTGATAGGAACAGGTAATGGCTGTTTAGCAAGTAGGTAACATAGATGGATCAGACCTCCAATCCACTTTGACAGGCGCTGAGCCGTGATGCGAGTACCCAGCCGTGCTGAAGCGTACAAGACGAATAGTTGCAAGTCTCGTCTAGTTGGGTGCGTTCTATTGACGTAGAATAGGAGAGCCCTCTTCACATCTAAAGTGTGTAATAATTTGTCCTCCGCTGATGTTGGATTTGGAAAGAAGTCAGGGAGGAAGACCTCTGCCTGCAGGTGGAACTCTGACACCATCTTCGGCAGGAAGGAGATGCCTGGGACGAGGCGGACTCCATCTGGCAGAAACGACAGGTTAGGGGTATCATGCCGGAAAGCCAATATTTCTCCCATTCGCCTCGCCGAGGTAAAAGCAATTAAAAAGGCTGTTTTCCATGCTAAGGGTTTGAGGTCGCATGTTGCAAGCGGCTCAAAGGGCTTCCTTGTGAGCTGGCATAGAACGAGGGGAAGGTTCCAGGGAGCGACTGGAGTTTTGACAGGAGGGTAGAGATGCAATAAACCTTTTAAAAAACGTTTTGAAATCGGATGGGAAAACAAAGTGCATCCGTCAACTGGAACATGGTAGGCCAAAAGAGCGGCCAAATAAACTTTCAATGATGAATGGGAAAGTCCTGAGTCAGCTAGGGTGAGGAGGAATTGGAAGACTCGTTTGAGACCCACTGAGGTGGCTCGAGGGGCATCATTACCAAGGGAAGAACATAATATAATTGTATTTATAATTTATAGAACCTCCGCGTGGTGGGTTTCCTGGAATTCGACAGGACATTCTTTACACAGGTGGAGAAGCCGGTGATGTTATTCTCCATGCCGTCAATTTATAATTGTAGGACCTCCGCGTGGTGGGTTTCCTGGAATTCAACAGGACATTCTTTACACGGGTGGAGAAGCCGGTGACTTTATTTTCCATGCCGTCAATTTCAGCTTTGGTATGTCGTGATGTAGGACGGGGGAGTCGGAGAGAAGGAGGAGGTCCTGAGCCAGAGGGAAGTGATGGTATATCTCCTGTGATAACTCGAGGACTGTCGAAAACAAAGGTTGTCTTGGCCACCATGGAGTTATTAAGATGCAGTCCGCGGCGTCTTTGAGTATTTTGCGGACCACTCTCAGAAGCAGAGGTAAAGGGGGGAACAGGTCAAGAAGTCCCGTGGACCAAGGGTAAAGGAGACCGTCCCCCAGAGATCGTGGATCCTTGCCTCCTCAACTACAGAATAGAGGACACTTTTTTTGTTTTTTGTGGCAAAGACATCGACTTGGGGAGCTCCCCACTTGTGGAAGAGTGGGAGGAGGTATGTTGGGTTCAACTCCCACTCGTGAAGGCTGAGTCCTGCTTGACTTAGATGGTCTGCCTGCACGTTCATGTGACCGGGAATGTAAGTGGCCACGAGGAAAATGTTGTTGGCGATGCAAAGCTCCCACAATTGGGTGGCAAGGTTGCAGAGGCGTAGGGAAACGGTGCCTCCCTGTCTGTTGACATAAGAGAGGGCTGTGGTGTTGTCCGTGAGGACCGTGACACATTTTCCCTTGATTAAAGGTAGGAAGCTGGTGACAGCGTGTTGCATAGCCAGCAGTTCTAGGAAATTTATGTGTCGCTTCCTCATCTGCGCGTCCCACTTGTCTCCAACAGAAAGGCCCATGGAGTGTGCACCCCATCCTGTCAGGGAAGCATCCGTTGTTATGGTGACTTCGGGTGACGGAGGGTGTAAGGGCGCTCCCTGGAGGATATTCGAAGGGACAGTCCACCAAAGTAATGAGTCCTGTATGCTGGGAAGAGGGGATAGGACGACAGTGTGTGCGTTTTTTGACAGGTCGTAGTTGCAGATAAACCAGAGCTCTAAAGGGCGCGTTTTGAGTCTGGAAAAGACGAGAACCGATGTTGCAGCCATCAGACCAAGTAGCCTCTGAATTTGGAAGACAGTGACAGAGGGTTGGGTACAGATGATGGTGGCTAAGGAAATGATATCTGCTGCTCTGTCGTGGAGCAGGTAATCCATGCATGTCTGTGAATCCAGTATTGCACCGATGTACTGTATTCACTGGACTGGACACAATTGAGTCTTTTGTCAATTGACTCGCAGGCCCAGATTCTCCAGTAGTGCCAGAGTCTCTGTGATATTGGAGACCAGGGCGTTCTTTGAAGGCGCTACCAGAAGCCAATCGTCTATGTATGGGTAGATGGAGATACCCTGGAGACAGAGGAAAGCTGCAACCACAATCGGCGCTGGAGAGGCTGAATGAAAGGGCCGTATACTGGTAGTGCTGTTGACCAATCGCAAAGCGTAGATATTGGCGGTGGAAGGGGTGGATAGTAAGGTGGAAGTATGAGTCTTGGAGGTCAAGATGGCCATCCAGACGTGTCTGCGAAGCAATGGCATGATCTGTTGTAGGGACACCATGCGGAAGCGGTGGTAGGTCACAAAACGATTCAGTTCCCTTAGATCTAATATGGGTCAAACGCCTCCATCTCTCTTCAGGATTGTGAAGTATCGGGAATAGAATCCCGTCCCTTGGAGGTGTGGTGGTACGTGTTTGATGGCTCCCTTCTGCAGAAGGATGGACACCTTCTCGAGGAGAGGTGGGGAAGAAGGCGTGGAAACGATGACAGGAGTATTGGGGTTCTGGTGGAACTGAATTTTGTAGCCTCGGGACAATATGGACAGTACCCGGTCGTCCGAGGTGATGTGACGCCAATTTTGAAGAAAGGGTGACAGACAGGTTTGAGCTGACTCAGTGACTGGGAAGTCAAAAACCCTGCTTGCAGGGTTTGGACTGTTTGGTGCGGGCAGCTTGTTGTCCGGGACTGAATTTTGGTTTCTGGAAGGTGGGCTTTTGGCCTCCCGAAGACGTTCTTGGTCTCTATTGTGTGTCCAGAGATTGATGAGTTCGGGTACGCCTCTGCCAGGACCTCGACCAGGTGCGGGGACAGTATGTTTGCCTCGCAGAGGATGACACTCCTAGAGCTCAAGACGCCTTTATGCTTTTATCTAACTCCTGTAGAGTAAAATCAATGGTGGCATTGAGAAGCCCCAGGCCATCAAAGGGAAGGTCTTCCACATAAGTTCTGGTATCTATCAGCAGATTAGTGTTGCGGAGCCAGGAATGTCCTCTGAGAGCAATTGCAGAGGCCATAGTTCTGGAAGATGCCTCGAGGACATGTTTAGTAGTATTGAGCTGTTGTTTTGCCAACACCATGCCTTCTTTTTGTATGACTCTGGCTGCCTGAAGTTTGTCGTCTGGGAGGTGGCTGAGAAGTTCTGAGAACCGTTCCCAGAGAGTATATTGATATCGGTTCATACAGCCCAGGTAATTAGTGGCCTTGACTCCCAACGCTCCCGTGGAGTAGAAGCAAAGGCATCTAATTTCTTACCTTCCTTGTCAGAAGGTGCGGAATTAGTCCTCTTGTATTTGGAGGAAGATGTTATCACCATCGAGTTAGGCTGAGGGTGCGAGAAGAGGAATTCGGCATCTGCCTCTTGGACCCTGTACATGTGGTCCAGTCGTCTTGTGGACACAGGGGCAGACGAAGGTTTTAGCCATGGTGTCTTCGCTGCCTGCAGAAGAACTGAAGACATGGGCAATGCCAAGGTAGAAGAGGTATCAAGCTGAACTATATCATAAACCGCATCTGTTGCCTGGGGATGTTGCTGGACAACAGAGAAGCCTAAAGAGTGGGCCATTCTTTTGACCAAATCTGTGTATGACGTAAGGTTGTCGGATGGGGATACGGGTAAGTCCTCAGCGACATCCTGGTTGGGGGATTTATGGTCAGGAGAGGTATGAGCCTCAGATGCCTCTGTGTCTGAATCCTCTTCTATGAAGTCTGAGGAGTCTTGTTGTGGTATTTGGACCGAAGTGTCCTGTTGACAAGTTATGGGTTTTGTTGGGACGACAGGGTCTGGGTTGACCGGAGGGTTGATAGGACGACCTGGTTCTAGAGTATGATGATCGTCTGGAGGAGGATGTGACAGAGATGCCGAAGGTCTCGATTTGTGGGGCGACCTCGACCTATGAACAGAGTGGGATGAATAGCTATCCCAATCAGAATAGCCCGCCGGAATCAACCACGGCATGGATGGTGGATAAGCCCCGTACAGGTACCTCAACTGTCGCTGATCCCAAGGTATTGGGGGGGGGGCAGGAAGACTCTGGGGGATCGACCTCTGGACTGTGAACGTCTGGGAGACAAAGCAGTATCCTGTCTATGAGAACCGTCCCTGTAGTCTCGGTTGTCAATATCGACAGATTGACTGTGCAGACGTGGAGGGTGACGCTGCTTGTCACATGTAGTATATCGGTGCCGACGTGGATCGATGTCGGGAGCTTCCGATACCGTCGATGTCGACAACGGGAAAGGAGACGGAGAAGGCTCTGTATCCATTTGATGACTTAGGAGCTCTACCATTTTGATGTCGGAGTAAGGACGCTCCATTTGGTGGACAGGGGAGTCCAAGACATGGATGGTCGGTATCAGTGGAGGGACTTGGGCCTCTGATATCGATACTGCGGTTGGAGCGGGAGGCACTTTAGGGGCATCACCCAGTGCAGACACCGTTTCCTTCCCCTTCTTCGCCGCCTTAAGGGACTTGGAGGTGCCTTTCTTCGCGAACTTATGATCTTTACTTGCCTTAGCCTTTTTTTTGACTGGCGTGGAAGCAGACGATTGTGCCTTCAATGTCGGGAGCTTCGGCGTTGGGCAGTCGACATCGGAGGCAGGCCTCGGTGTCGAAGCGGTCGACGTCGATGGTCTCTGCTCCATTGGTGTGGCGGGAGCAAGAGCCGATTCCAGCAGCGCTACTTTAAGTCGCGCCGCACGGTTTTTTTGCATTTGGTTGGAGAAGCGAGCACAATCTTGACAGGACTCAGGTTTGTGTGACTCTCCGAGGCAAAAAATACAAAGTGTATGCTGGTCTGGAGGAGCAAGTTTGCTTCCACAGCGTTTACACCTATTAAAAAATCCCCACTTCTTCTCCATAAGAAGTGGAGTAGA